ATATCGTTTTCTATTACTTTTAAGACAATTACGACAAATATTAACAATTTAAGAAAAAACTTTTCAAAAAAAAAATTTCGCAGACTTGTGTTTTTAATATTATTTTTAACTAAAGAATAAAAAAGTTACATAATTGTTAAATTTATTTTTCTCTGAACTCATGCTGTTCTGATTCGGTCCCAAAAACAGTCGTGACGTTTCACTAACGCAAGTGACGAACTTCTTCAGAAGTCCTTCCATCTCCGACGCTGGATGCGGACACATACGACGGTTTTTATATCTGAATCAAACAGCGTCGGTCACCTATTAGCCGGGCACTTATTAGAAGTTCTGAAAATACAAATTTAATGTTCGATTAAATACATATTGGAAGTATAAGAAATACTAATGCATAGGGAGTGGGCGTGATTCGCACATGACGTCATTATCAGGTCGTAAATAGGACGATAAGCTACTGTTTGTGGAAACCGAGGTGAGAACACATATGGAGTCGCATCTGTTATAAAGTCTTTATTAAGTCTTTGTTGACTTTATCATTCTCGTCCAACAACATTCTGATCGTTGGCCTAAGCATGGACCTTATATGTACGAACAACGTCCACTCTCCACTAAAAAGCATCTATAAATTGCAGTTAATGACGTTGATTACATGTGTGGTATGTCAGTTAACCAATTGGAAACCAAAATAAATAAATGGAAGAGTATACAAAAATATGGTTTGTTCGTTTAATTACAATATAGCAGATTTCTTAAACGAATTCTGGATGGTCAAATTTCTCTTCATTTCAAATATTTAGTGTCACGTCCGCATAGACCGCAGCTTACGAACCCAGTTTCTAGTGTAAAATTATCACAGTGATTTATAGGCCGAATTGGTTCGGGAATGTAAAAATTTTCACTGCCACGTTTCCACTAACAGGACTGCAGAGAAATTCGAAGTTGACATTATCTTTACTTAATGTATATTTTTGTTCAAACATGTGGAAAATTATTACAAGCCTTCATTCAGAAAAACTTTTGGTGTAAGAAATATAATTTTTGTTTCATTTTACATAAAAATACATAAAATCGTAATAAAAGTCCAGATAAAGTTCGGGGTCAAGACTGAAGCAGACCTAGAAAAAAAACGGAACCAAAAATGTCTACCCTAATTAAAGTTCAATTAGGTTAGGATTAAAGGTTGCGATGAGAACAGTGCGCAGTCTAGTGACTGTTTAATTACCCCCATGAAGCCATGAAATATATCAGCTGTACAATGCGTACAAGAAGTCCGTCCATTATAATCGTATGATAAAGGAGATATCGTCAAAGTAACCTTTCGGCGACACCTATCCCATTATCTAGTCACCCCTTTTAGCTGTCTTTAAAAAAATGTCACAATAAATGTCATAGTTATGTGAAATATGCCGATCTTCTTTAATGATTAAAAATCAAAAATTTAATTTAAAATAAGCAAATAGTAGAAATAGAAGTAAGTAGTCTTTAAAAGGTTTGTCATTTTCTTTAATATGCATTAGGATGTCAAATTAAAATCATGTTTGGCTGGCAGCACGCACTTCAATGAAAAGCAACCAGAGGGGTCAATTATTTTTTAGACTTTTGTACGTCAAATTTTAACTTTACAGATTGAGTAAATATCTTTCTGTATTATGCCGTGTGATCATTTTAAGAGGTACCATAAAAAAAATATAAACGAAGTATTTTAGAAATATTTTAAAGGAAGTTTTTATCGCACAAGTAGGTGGTATGATTTTTATTTGGCTTACAATTTGATAAAAGGACGGTCAACTTTATATTATATTCTGCAGGTTTTTTTATTTTTATTTGACGTCAACATATTCTGGACAAACTAGCGGGAAGATTTAAAAACTAAAAAGGAACTTTCTTGAAAAAAGTTTTGAACAAAAATTATTCAGAAAATACTACAAATGACGCAGTAAACGCCATCTGTAGCACGATGCTACATTTTAGGATAACGTATGCTCCAACAAGGTCCACTTGTGTGGATATCTACTTGTTGAAAACGAATCCCGGCGTAGCTAACCTCAACGTGATAGGCACGTTACCATAACCAAATAAAATAATTCGAAGTGGTCTGTATTCTGTCGAAACTGCCAGACGCGGATCGTGATTTCGATCTGTTTGGATCTCATCAGCGCGTCGCAGGCATCTCCGACAGAACACAGACCAACTTTTACCTGTTGTCTTAACAGCGTGTTTTAGAAAATACCACAAATGGCTCGGTAAACGCCATCTGTAGTACGATGCTACATTTTAGGATTACGTATGCTCCAACAAGGTCCACTTGTGTGGATATCTACTTGTTGAAAACGGATCTCGGCGTAACCAACCTCAACGTGATAGGCACGTTAGCTTAATACAGACCACTTCGAATTATTTTATTCGATTAAGCTTAATTTGTTCTAGTTTTAGGGAAATGCGAAGATTAGCTCAGGACAGGAAAGAGTGGAGGTACGTGTCCAACCAGTCTTAGGACTGACGACCTTATGATAATGAAGGCTCTAAAACTAAAGTTTTTCGGGTTACCAGGAACTGAAATCGAGAACCAGATCTGCAGAGGATGAAAATCTTGTTTTATAAAAAAAAATCCGATTATTATATATTATTAATATATTATTTTGTCGCAGGACATACAGTTCGGCTTCGAATGAAATCCCTGTAGAGTTCGGTCTAAGCCCCTAAAGGTCAAGGCTCAGATAATAACCTTAACTGTTTTAAAATATGCATATGGTCTTCACCAGTTGTAGAAACTGAAGAAATTTTAATGGTAAATTTATTGTATGTCCACCAATTAATATTATTTATAATTTGAGATTAAGCATAGGTCAATGACTTATTGTAGCATCTATTGTTTAAAAAATATGGAATTACAATTAATGCACTACAGTAATAAAATAATTTACACAAAACAGTTATACATGTACATACCTACATACTATAAAATATACGTTTGACTATATTAAATTAAGTCCAATATCTAATCACCGCCATGAATCATTTTCGTCGAACAGTATCTCGGAAAACTGACTAGGAAAAGTAGACCGTCTGCTATAATCTGAAGGAAACATATTTTAATTATTACCCAGAACTTCTTTAAAGTTCCATCAATTTACCTCGGCACAATCGCAACAAGGTGCAAATGGACAGACTATAACATAGAGAATATACCCAATCCATGAAACCCAAAATGAAACGAAAATCAATATAAGTAGCCAAAAAAAGCCGCATATGCACCTGGCACAGTTATTTTCTGGCATTTAAAACTGAAAATAATATATTGTTTTTAAAACATGCTGCAAGCATTAAATGAGTAGAATTGAAGAACTGGTTAGATACGAACTTAGCTCTTATTTCATTATTATCAAAGTTGAAAATTGTCATAATTGATTTCGAATGGGTTTTATTCGAAATGTTTGAAAAAAGCTCAAAAATATTGTTAAGGAATCCTATGTTAGAGTTGAATGCATTATTCAACACATATATCTATATTCTGAAAATAAATAACAACTATACAAATTCATACATTGAAAATCACTTACTTCTTCTGCCTAACTAGTTTAAATTAAAGTATTCTTTTCACTTTACTTACAAATTGTATGAGAATCATCAGATTGTGACGTTTGTTTGTGACATTTTTTTGAAAAAACAACTGAAAATAATACACTTACCTGTAAAACTAGGTCTAATCATCATCATCTTCATAAGGTCGTCAATCCTAAGACTGGTTGGACACGTACCTCCACTATTTCCTAATCCTGAGCTAAACTTCGCATTTCCCTAAAACTAGAACAACCCACATCCTTAACTATTTGCGAACAGTAATCTAACCTAGGTGTACCTCCACCCCTCCTAACTCCTGTTTCTGCTTCTAATATGTCTCTGACTAGACCTTCATGCTTGAGAAGGTGTCCTACCAACCTATCTCGCCTATTTTGTATTGACTTCCATAGAGTCCTCTGTTCTCCTATTCTTTCTAATACCTCTTCATTTTTAACCTTTTCTATCCACGTTATCATCATTCACCTATAACACTACATTTCGAACGCTTCTGACCTTTTCTTTTCCGCCGCGCCCACTGTCCATGTTTCGCACCCGTACAACGTCGCGCTCCAAACATAAACTTTTAACAACCTTTTTCGAATTTCTAAATTAACCGTTCGCAAGCATAATACCAAAGCTTCATTAATCTACATATATTTGCATGGAGACGGCATAGAGAGCACCAACTTTATATACCGATCCATAGGTTTCTCAAACAACCTGGCAGTTTAAAATGAAAATAATATTTGAATGCTCTTGTAGATTATAAAATTATTAATTTAGCCTAAACGGATTAAGTAGTCATTTTTATAAAAAATATCAATAGACATTTGGAACCAACAAAACATTATTTGGTAATTGCCCAGTTGCAAAACTATTGAAATTATTAAAGGTAGGCATATAACATAAAAAACTTTATTGGATGATTACATTAAATCAACATTCTTACGTAATAAGCTAATGCACTAATTGTAAGTAGTATTTATTACTAAAAATTGTATACACTAGAGCTTCCGATGCCTTCAATCTCCTCCTGAAAGCATTTTCGTAACACAAAATCTTGGAAAGTCTACCATTTTAAATACACCGTCGGTTAAATTCTAAAATGATAATCTCTTAATTATGATGACATCCAAATACTATAGGGTTGTTCGGAAAGTCATTTTGTTTTTTTTGTGGAAATGAAAGACAGTTTTCGTATAATAAACAAATACTTTATTTAATTATATATTGACCGTTCTGGTCCAACACCTTTTGCCATCTTTCTGGTAGTAGCATAATTCCACGCTCATAAAATTTTTGGTCTTTGCTGGCAAAAAACTGATCGAGGAGGTTTTTGACCTCCTCATTTGAGGTGAAGGTTTTACCGTCTAAAAAATTTTGGAGTGACCGGAACAAATAATAATCCGATGGTGCCAGGTCTGGAGAATATGGTGGGTGTAGCATTGTATCCCATTCAAGCTGTAAAAGCTTTTGGCGAGTGACCAAACTTGTGTGAGGTCTCGCGTTGTCTTGGTGAAACACTACACCTTTCCTGTTGATTAGTTCTGACCTTTTCTGTTGAAGTGCATCATTCAGTTTGTCCAGCTGATGACAGTAGACTTCCGAATTAATCGTTGTGTTATCCGGTAAAAGCTCAAAAAAAACGATTCCTTTAAAATCCCACCAAACAGACAGCATCACCTTTTTTTGGTGAATATCGGCTTTGGAAATGGTTTGAGCCGGTTCATCTTTTTTGCTCCATGACCTCTTGCGTTTGACGTTGTTGTATACAACCCATTTTTCGTCCCCAGTGATGATGCGCTTCAAAAACGGATCATTTTCGTGACGTTTGAGAAGCGAATCGCAGACGTCAATGCGGCGACACAGATTTCTCTCTGTGAGAACATGGGGAACCCATACATCGAGCTTCGAGGATAATCCCAGGCCTTTCAAGTGGTCATAAACTGTTGAATTTGATAAATTTAACCTCAATCCGATCTCACGTGTTGTTATTCGCCGGTTCACATCAACTAATGCCTTTATCGCGTCTTTATCAGCTTCAACCGGCCTTCCCGAACGTGGTGCATCTTCGACATCAAAATTGCCGGATCGAAATTTAGCGAACCAGTTCTGGCACTGGCGTACTGTCAACACACCTTCTCCATACACATCAGTCAATTTCTTTCTGGCTTGAACAGCATTTTTACCCTTTCTGTAGTAAAACAGTAAGATATGTCGAAAATGCTGCTTATCGCTCTCCATATTTAAAAGGGCACCAACCAAAAACTACTGCGTAGAATTAATTGGAATTTTTCACACACAAGCCTTGCTATATGAGCTCTCAAAGCATATAAAAATTATACGGCTTAAATGTGAAGTTGGGTGGAAAAGAATACAATTAAATCCTCTGTCGGGAAAAAACGAAATGACTTTCCGAACAACCCTATATATAAATGTGAGAAACAACAGGTTTGACCATTTGGTTTTAAGTAGGCCACGGAAAATCAATATAATACATAATTTTTTGAAATAAAAATGCTTGCACCTATTGATATTTGAGTATTACCGTATACCATAATGCGTAAATATTAGTGAAAAATCAAATTTTAACAACAAGCCACTTTTAAAATAACTTCGGCATGACGTAACATCTATTTGCCTATTATGGAGCTACAGAGCTAAGTCATAGGTCCAGTTTGATAAGTTAATATCTTTGTGGAAGATTATTGAATTCCACAATAAGCAGCAAATTTCTACTACGCTATTGAGGTAATTCAGAATCTCATGATCCTTGACCTTGGGTTACGTAATGACAGATTTCCACCAGTTCCTTGACGTCCACATTTCTCCATCTTAAAAACATAGGCCCTCTCTTTATCAGGAACTGGAATCTTGGCTGTATTGCGAGGCACGTAGTTAATAGCAGAGTTAATCTTTTCGCGATGTAATAACGTAATAGGGTTCGTCTGTCACACGTGCGAAGGCTCATGAGATTTTGAACTAGTTATACATAAAAAAGTTTGCGTTTTTAAATAAAATTCGAAATGTAATTATGATTAGTTACCTGTGCCCAACCACAACAGGGTGCGCAAGGAGAGAATATTAAATACAGAATGCAACCAAACGCTGCAACTATGAACGAAACAGTAATCAAAGCAATAAACCAAAATACTGAGCACAGGCATCTTACACACGGATTAGAAGCCATTTAAACACCTGAAAATAAAGTTTGACTCATTATGTTAGGTCTAGTTCCCCAAAAAGTTTTTGATAACAACAACAATTTTTATGTAGATGTGTAAATTGGGATTTATGTAATAAATTATACAGTGTGCGAAACTGGTTAAATCTATAGCTAAACTAACCAATCAAAATAGTTCATTTGTATTATAATTCAATGTCTCAAATCAACTAACGGGCTGATAGATAAATACTATTAAACATTCTTAATGTTTACAATTGTCATTTCATACGTTACCTTCCTTTAGCTGATTAAAGCAACAGTTAATTCTTTCGACTACTTTTGTTACAATTACGTTAATTGCAATCTAATTTAATTGTTTTCTATCCAGCCGTCTTCTTGCTCGTTTCTGTATATAAAACGGACCTACACATGTAGGTAGGATCTCCAAAATAATTCTACATAACAGCTTTTATATTATCATTACTTACTGGACAATGCCAATGAATTTTTTTTTTTAAATTAAACCGACTTATGTCATAAAAAACCATAGCAATAAAAAAATTAATCGTTCTAATTAAGTCAATATAGAAAAATAGATGTTGCAGTTTGACACACCAGCTCTTTAGTTTTTGAATGTAATTTTGTTTAGTAACCGGTTAAATCTATATACGTAAAAGAAAGTCGTTTTAATTACACTTTTTTTATAATTCAAGAACGGCTGAACCGATTTGGCTGAAAATTGGTGGGAGATAGCTTAGAACCAAAAGACAGACATAGAATCCCTTCCTCGTGGAAAAAAAGTGATATAAGAAAACGTAACTGATAACAAAACGACAAATTTATCTGTCAAAACATCAGTCTAGCCATTCATTTGTTAAAAATGGTATAACAAAAGGCAACTGACAGCTAAACGTAATGTTGTCTATGGTTAAGTATGGTATTTTATTTATAGTCAGATTTACCTGAAACTTGGCTTTTTCATATAAAATTAGTGACATACATACCTATTTCAACATTTTACAAAATTCTACCTCTTTAGGAAGCTGAAAGGGGTTTGCAAAGATTGCATGTTTAGAAAATTCAGGAACACTCCACGATAACGTAAGCGGGTGACCGACATCCGGTAGGAGATAGTGTGCTTTAGTGTTGGGAATTTATCTATACGAGACTTGTTTAAAAAATAGGAACTTATATGATGCTGATTACTCGACTTCAGATAGAAATATCACATAATCATGACAATCAAATGTAAATCATCACTAAAACGGTTTATCTCCTTTGGTATTTTCAAAATTATAGGTCGACAAATCAATTATTAACGTTAATTGATTTGGTCAAATTTCATACTGAATTACGTATTCAGCATAGTATAAGGAGTGTAAAGATCGGCTGATTGACTTAAGTGGTGATATCGAATTAGTTCTACTCTGACATATGTTTCTCTAATTGTTAGATAAGAAGTTGGAATGCGTTGCTTTTATTTGCATCGAATAATAAAATAACAGTATAAAATGATTCACAAATGACTCACAAAGTAATGACAGTAGCATTTTCTAGAACAGTTTTAAACTGCACTATTTAATTTAAATTCGTAACAACCGTTTACCCTATAAGGTCACATTTAGAAGACATGTAGTACACATATAAGATAGTTATTAACAATGAATACATACTCAATCGAATTAACAGAGGATTCATGTAGTATACTGTCAATCAAGGTATCGTAAAGATTCAAGTATAAATCAATTTTATATTAATGTGAAAATTCTTTTTTAATTTTCAATCCCACTACAAACTACCTCAAGTTAATGAGGGAAAAATTTGTTGTTGTTGTCACACCCTTGCCGGGAATCGAACCCGGGACCTTTGGCTGTGCGCACCANCGAAGGTCTGCATCCTCCTGGAGCTGTGAGATAAAATACGCAAAATTTGACACTAGCAAGGGAATCAAAACCTACAGTTGATATAAAATCATGTTTGACAAGAAGTGATGCCTTATAGTACCAGTAAACGGAAAAAT